AATCCAATAAGCCATCTCACCAACCCAAATCATTATTTTTGAGTATCCATTAAATATTATTCATTATTTATTGAACACATTTTCAGGCAGAGTCTAGGATGTACAAGATGTATCTTGTGACCACACTGGTATTACAATCAAAAGAAGAGGGGAAAATAATATCAGGTAAAGATAAAGCAACTCCAGAATATAAGAAAATATATACATACAGTCTTCTCTTGATACCCATCATGAGGAAGAGTGGAGGGCTAGTTCCACAACTCTGGTAGCCAAAAGATCCACAGATGTTCAAGTCCCTTAATAAAATGCCATAGTACTTACATATAATCTATGTACAGCCTACCACAGACTTTAAGTCATCTCTAAACTTCTAAATTATTGATAGTATTTAATACAGCATAATGCCATATAATGCAAGAAAAAATAGAAAGTTTAATAAAGATGAAGTTTTTTCAAATATTTTCAATCTGTGGATGGTTAGATCCATAGATACATAGAACCAATAGAAACAGAGGGCCAAATGTACATAGAAGAATGTAACAATTGCCAACCCTCATCTTTTTGCAACCATAAAACTACATTCACAAATATGGAAATTCAGCCCAGCATGGTAGTGCACACCTTTAATCTCAGCACTTGAAAGGCAAAAGCAGAAAGGCCTCTGTGAGATTGAGGCAAGCCTGGTCTACATAGTAAGCTCCAAGCAAGCTGGAGCAACAGGGAGACCCTGTCTCAAAAACCAAAAGCAAAGCCAATTAAAACAAACTATGAAAATTCATTCATTCACTAAACAAATACAAAGCAGTCACTAAGAAGACAATACTAGGCAGTTGGTGTACAGTAACAGAAAGAGTAGTACTTGCCTTTAAAGTAATGAAAACTAAGTTCAAATCACGTTCAGTATTTACCACTCTGGACCTTATGGGTCTTAAGTTGAGATAAAAATCTGCATTTGCACTCACGTAAGTTTTACATGCAAAAAAAACAGCAGTTTATCCACTACTTTATGAACAAAGCTTAACTTTAAACTTCATATGGTAAAATATTCATCTGCATTTATAAAATGAGCCTCAAAATATTTAGAGAAAATAAAACTAAATTTATTGGCATATCAAAAACTTGAAAGTGAACTTAACGATCTGAAATAAAACTGATTAATTCCAATGTAAACATACTGAAACCCTTTTTACACTCACACTAAAAGATATAAATGATTAAAGCACTGTCAACCTTGCTCTCAAAGGTCATTCAACTTTAAAATAAACAGAATGTTCAGGAACAATCTTCCCCCTTAGAAATGTATTAATATCAGTAAAAATATTCAAAAGAATTTAATATCTCACCTATTGGGAAAGCATATGAAATCAAGAAATGCTGATGACCAGATCAGAGACGGTTATTCACACCTACAAGCTACAAGCCAGCTCCAGGAGACTGAGGCAAGAGGACTGCAAGTTAGAGGACATCCTGGGATACAGAGAAAGACCATCTCAATAGCCTCCACTCCTCAACATCTTCCTTTGTAAAAAGGAAATGTTGAACAGATATCGTGTGTGTGTGTGTGTGTGTGTGTGTGTGTGTGTGTGCGTGTGTGTTTGGTGGCAAGGGGGAGGGGTATATATGTGGCATATGCACAGGTCTATATGTGAATGCGTGACCCCATGCAGATGCCAGAGGAACACATCAGGTGTCCTGTTCTATCACACTCCATCTTATTCACTTAAGGCAGGTCTCTTGGGCTGGAGAGATGGCTCAGCAGTTAAGAACACTGCTCTTACAGAAGACACAGGTTTGAATCCCAGCACCAAATGGCAGCTAACAACTGTCTGTAACTCCAGTTCCAGGGGATCCAACAGCCTCTTCAGTCCTCTGCAGGCATTGTATGACACAGGTGAACTTACTTACATGCAGGCATAACACTCATACACATAAAATAAAATTTAAAAATGACAGGTTTCTTACTGAACATGGAACATGACTTGCAACAAGCAAGCTCCAGTGATCTTCACACCCCAGAGCACTGGAGTTACAGGTGCCTGGGACCACAACTGACTTTTATGTGGACAGTGGGCATTTGAACTCTGGTTATCCTGAAGGCACAGCAAGCAATCTTACCTACTGAGCCATCTTCCCAGTCCCTGAACATATCTGAGTGGCAAAAACAATAAAAACTTCAAAAAAAAAATCAAATAATTTGTTTAAAGAATCTAGTTATATAAGATGAGTTATATAAATCAGATAAACTTGACTTTTCAAAACAGATATAAGCTTTAATGAACAGTCATCAAAATATTAAATATTAATAGTTCCAAAGGATAGAATTTATTAAATTTCATTATTTTCTTAAAATATATGCCTGGTGCCCTTGAACCCCCTTTGACTGTTACAGGGAAAAGAAAGCAAGTATAAAAAAGAAAACGTAGGCTACATCTTACCTCAGTCTTCCTCAATAAACTGCCACAGTTGGCAAGAAGGGGATATACAGCATTTGATGCTTTGTATAACTTTCCAAGTTTGAGTTTTGTTATTCATGTATGTTTTATACAAATATCTGAACTTAATATGCTTTCATTAAACCCCATTAATAAATGTTAATCCTGAAATACATTTTGACCAATTAATAATCATTTAGCTTGGGATAAAAAGAAACAAACAGAAAATATAAAATGTATGTCCTTACCCTTAATCAGGGTTGAGTTACTAAAACAGATATATTAGTAAAACATACAGGAAAAAGCATGATTTACTAATAAGCTGATGACAAACTAGGTGCCATCAGGGAATAATTTAATAATAAAAACAGCACATTAGGCCAAACAGTAGAAAGACATAATTTTCTTATTTCTGTTTCTAGCTCAAAATAGGTAAGCCAGGTCTTCAGGTCTTCTCAACAACAACAACAAAAAAGTACTTAATTTGTTAAGTTAATACATCTAAAATGTATTACATTGAATTGCTCCAAAGTATTTTAAATGTAAAAATTTATAAGTTTCTAGACAATTTTCAGAACACAGGTATCTCAAAATTCTGGTAAGCCATCAAATTGATGATAATGTTGAGAAAGTAGCATCATGTATGACTTTAGAGTCATAAACATTAGCAAACTGATGGCTCTACCAAATTATTTGGCCTCTGGCCATGGGCAAGTTATTTAACAATGCTGATTTTGCTTCTTCTTAAGTAAAATAGGGATAGCAACAAATACCTCCCAGAGACACTGAAAGAACTAGATCAGATGTCATACATAATTAACTAGCAAAATGGCAGCCTGAAAATAATTCATGCTTAGCTTCATCCTAGCTCCCACATTCAAGTAAATTTCGATTTCAGTGATATCAGAACACCAAGAAACTGGAATGCTCACTTTGTTTTACATTTTACGCCTAACTATACAAAAATAATATGATAGCCAGGCGTGGTGGTGTACACCTTTAATCCCAGCACTCAGGAGGCAGAGGCAGGCAGATCTCTGTGAGTTCAAGGCCAGCCTGGTCTACATAGTGAGTTCCAGGACAGCTGGGGCTACAGGGAGACCTGTCTCAAAAGGACCAATAATAATAATAATAATAATAATAATAATATGCTAGTCTTATATTAAGTACTAAAAACTATTTTGCATTCAATTCTATGATTTTCCTTCACTTCCAAGAGTTTGAAAAATAAAAATAAAATACTTGTACCCAAAATGCCACATTTAACTTCAGTAATACCATTTTAACCTGTATTGAAAACCATGCTCTAACTGGCTATTTACATTAAAATCAATTCAAGTTCAATAAAACTCAAAATTCAGTTCTTCAGTCTCACCAAACTTAAAAAACTCGAGTCATATAAGGCTACTGGACAGTATACACAGAGCATTTCCATCATCTCTGAAACTGTTAGAGCTGTTCTTGAGTACTGGCATGTACAACAATGGAAACCACTTTCTGCATCATATATAGTTAACCCTATCTCGAATAAATGTCCAAGAAGGAAGATACTGTGAATATTTTGCCTACAAATGAATTTCTAGTGTCCAGCACATCCTAAGTATTTAATGGGTATCTTTCAGCTGATGTGTAGTTTTGGTTTAGTCAAAACTGAGTTGGTAAAGGTCAAAACTAAAAGCAATGATAATGAATACAATGCATATATACTTTTTTTTAAAGTAGCAGATCACATGAATGACTGTAATCCCAGCAACTCGGAAAGCAGAGGCAAGAGTACAGGAAGTTCAAGTCAGCCTAGACTACAGGAGACCCTATCTCAACCCTACCTACCCACTTCCAATAAAAAGTAGATCAGTTTACATGTATTCACAATTGTTAAATACCCAAAGACAATGACAGTATCCCATGTAATCTCTTAAGTATTTAGGTTTTAATTACATTCAAGAATAGAAAAAAAATGCTTATTTATACCTAATTAGTATTACTATTCTTATGTGTAAGCTTTTCCCAGAGAGTAAAGTTACTTAGTTCTAAATAGTATGTGAGGTTTGCACATCCATAGGTTCCACATTCTACAGATTCAATCCATCACAAACTGGAACTAAATGGTGCTCAACAGCCACACGAAGCCTATCGTATAGCATAGATACAGAACATTTCTATTATCTCAGAAACTGCATCTGTCCTGAGTATGTAGACTCTTTCTTGCCATTATTCCCTACACAGTATAGTATAACAACTATTTACATGTCATTTACATTGTTTTAACTGTAATTAATTCAGAGATGATCTACAATATACAGAAAGAGGTGTGCAAGTGCAAATACCATACCACTTTATATAGAAGAATGGAAGATCTTTAAGTATTTGGAGAAGATCCTGAAACCAGTTTTCAGTGTATATGACACACAATGGCCAAACAAAACATTTTGAAAAATTCACCAGTTTTACAACAAATAAGGTTATGGCAGTTAAGAGTTTAGAAAATCTAATTCCTTATATCTTGAAATCAAGATAATTTCTACTATGTGCAGAACAGAAAAAAAAATCTAATAATTTTGCACTTACACTGCCACATTTTTTCTAATGGTATATTCATCCAATTCGTCATCAGAGCTGCTATCGGTTGCATCAGAATCCAGGCCCTCTTCGACATGAGACAACAGCCCTGTAGCAGACAGTGCAAATCTTTGGATTTCTGTGGCTGTACACTGGGCAAAGCCATTTTTTGTATCATCCCATAATTTATTCTCTGAAGTCAGTATGTTGACTTCTGGCTTAATTTCAGTGTGTTCAAGTAAACTTGAACAGTTATCATGGAAGATCTTCACTGTGGGCAGCTGATGCTTCATAGAAAATTTCATCTGTTGACCATAGTGCTTAACAACATGCTTTGCCAGGAGCATCTGCAAGTGTTTCTGAGTTCTTCTAGCCTGGCTAAGTAAAATTTTCTGTTTATTTACACAATGCAGTAAACGAGCATTCACTTCCTCCTCTTTCTCAGCAGCTGAGGAACTGACAGGCATATTTGAGTGAACAGGTCCAATTTTCTTTTGAGTACACTGCAATAAACCCTTTTTAATCTTAGTATCAGTAAATCTATCCACAAGTGCATTCTTTTGGTACCATTTACAGTTTTGCAGATGTATCTTATCTACATTAGTGTCTTTGGTGAGATTTGAATCCAAAACTATTTGTAAATCCTTCATGCACTGGCTTGTGCTATCTGAAAGGTCCTTTTTGGTTAATTCATTCTCAGAATGAGAATGGCAGATTTTATTGAGCTGAATGTTGCTGCCATTACACAGTACATTTTTCAGCTTACTACAGTTAGCCTCCCCTAATTTCTTTTGGTTATAATTCTCATATTTATTTAATGTAGAATTAGAGCTCATTAGAAGAACTGTCTGAAAATGTTTTGAAGCCTGAGGGGAGGTAAAATGTTTTAAATTCACAAAATTAGTATTAAGAGTAGGTTCAGGAGTCGGAAATCCCAGCATCTGAGAGAAAGTGTCTCCTCCTTTTAGCTTTTCACCTCCAGTTCGTGGATTTTCCATGCATAGCATCTTGTCAGATTCCATGGTACTTGGCAAAGATGAAAAGCAGATACCCTTTGTTGTTGTCTCCTTCAGGGCTGGGGTCATGGCGAATCCTGCAGATAATTACTGGAAACCTAAAATAATATGAAAATAAATTAGCAAACATCCAGAAAAAGGTTTTATGCTTACACTTTTTCAAAAGGCATTTTTTTATGCTTCTGATTAAAATGTGCATGGAACAAAGACTTCCTTTTATATATATATTTTTTAATTTATTATTTTATGTATATGAGTATATTGCCTGCGTGTATGTGAGTGCACCCATGTCATGCAATGCCGCGGAGGTCAGAAGAGGGCTTAAGATTCCCCTGGAACTGGAGTTAAGGATGGTTCGTAGCCGCCATGTGGGTGCTGGGAATCAAACCCAGGTCCTCTGCAACAGCAGTCAGTGCTCTTAAACGCTAAGCTATCTCTCTAGCCCCACAAAAGACTTTCTTTATATCTCAACCTCCAATATTATCTCAATAATGACTAAGCTACTATTATTTTTCACTTTGCGAGCCTAATATCCACAACTCCAACTAAAGTTGCACATTATTGGGCTATACAAATAAAGCCCAGTGCTATAGCATTTGTCTACTATGTGTGAGACCCTGGGTTCAATCTGCAGCACTACAAAAAAAAAATATGATGTTGCACACTATTACAGTAAAGGTGCAAGGCCTGGTGGGTGGCACATGCCTTTAATCCCAGCACTTGGGAGGCAGAGGCAGGTGGAATACCTGTGAGTTCAGGTCTGCCTAGTGAATTCCAGGCCAGCTGGGGCTACAGGGAGAACCTGTCTCACAGTCCTATTATTGACAATGTTTAATGAGAGTCAAAAAAAGATTACCAACTTTGAGCCTCTTAACCATACTTGAAAATGTGACTCAATCCCACAATTTCAGTAAAAATATTTATCATTATGAAATACAATAAATATTCTAAAATGATGTTCATTTTAGAACTTACTTTTCTCAAACTAAATAGCAGTAACAAGAACTGAGTAAAATATACTCAAATAATCTGTTGCTAAGTCAGACCTAAGTGAATTACAAAAACATGTAAGCTAACAGTTGTTAAAAATAATACAGCAGTGAGACAAGTCTTTTTCCTGAAAATGTATCTGCAATATTTTTCCCTTTTTATATAAGTTACTGTGGATTGTATTACCCCTGCCTAGGAAATAATGGAGGCTATGCCAGATGACCATTAAAGGTTATTTCTATGGCAATTTCTAAGTTAAATAAACTTCAAAAGAAAAGAAACCATATATTCTGATGAACAGAAACAGTCAATCCAGTATCATTAAAACTTATGAAAAAAATTTTCGTAAAAAAATTTACATCATCAACTATAATTTTTAACAACAATTAACACTCTAGAATCATGATACTCTATAACTTCTGTTCTAACCCATATGATAGTTGATAGTTAAATGACTACACTCTAATATATGTATCCAGATGCTAACTGTAACTATGCTTTCTTCATTCTTATTTTTGCAAAGTCTAACACAAATTGATCAAGAAGAAAAAGTATAAAAATTACTATGTGAAAACAAAAATTGTAGGGGGTTAAAAGCAAATAGCCTTGTAGACAGTATCTATAACATATGTAACAGAGAAATATTAGTTTCCAGAATATATAAAGAAGTCCTGCAAATAAGACACAGCAATAAGGTATATAGGTGATGACATCTTGGTCATTAAACATGTACTTAATTGCAGTAGTAAGAAATATATAATAGCAAGGCAAAAGTTCAGTTTTCCAACCACCAAACTGACAAAAATATTTCAAGTATGAATATATCACTTATTATGAGGAAGTAAGTAAGCAAAATTTCTCACATCTAAGGCCACAAATTGGTTTGGTAGCGTGTTGGGTAGTTTTAGTTATCAACTTAACAGACTTGGGTAGAGGAAACCTCAATTGGGGAATTGCCTCCATTGAACTGGTCTGTGGGCATATCTCTGGGGCAATCTGATTGTTGAGTGATGTGGGAGGGTCCAGCCTACTGTGGCCACTACCACACCTGGGCAGGTTGCTCTGTATTATATAAGCAGGCTGAGCATGGGCCAGGGAAGCAAGCCAGTAAGCAGAGTTCCGCCATGGCCTGTGCTCCAGCTCCTGCCTCCAGGTTCCTGCCCTGAGTTCCTACCTGGGGCTCCCTGATGAACTGTGACCTGGGAGATATAAGGGTTTATTTAACCCTTTCCTCCCCCAATTGGTATTGGTCAGAGTGTTTTGTCACAGCAATTGAAAAACTAGAACACGTAGTTTCTATATATAGTAGAAAATATGATTGTCATGGGTATATGAGCAATGTCTGAAACTGTAAAACATTTTAAAGCAACTTAGATGTCTTAAGAAAAGAGAATAATAAAACAAAATAGAATACTACATTGAAGTTCAAAGCATAGCAATATGGAAAGACCTGAAAAACAATGTTAAACTGGGTGTACTGGTGCACGCCTTTAATCCCAACATGCAGGAGGCAGAGGCAAGCAGATAGATTTCTGTGAGTTCCAGGTTAAGGGGGCTATAGGGAGGCCCTGTCTCAAAAACAAAAAAGAAAAAAGCAGTATCAAATATACATACATAGAGAAAGAGAGAGTTTGATACCATATAAATATAACACAAACATAAAACCATTATCACGTATATATATGTATATGTCTATAATAATAAAACTGAAATACCCACCATACTTGTAACATACTTCAAAGTCCATGAAAAATGGGGTAAAAATGATAGTTTTTGATGATTTGCATTTTCATTATAAAATTTTATTACTTGGAAAGAAAAGAACAAAGGCAAAAATTAAAAACATAAATGACTAACCCTAGATAATAAAAATGTTTCTATACATATACATACATACATACATATATAATATATATATATATATATATACTTTACCATATATGTCTCGATGTAGAAATTTCTCTATCATTTGCTCAAATCTGGAATGTCTCAATGTTTATACATTTTGGCATAACTAAGCAGTAAATTTTAGTTATAATAGATTCCAAATCATCCTAAATTGTTTTAAAGAAAAACAAGATTTTTCTTTACATTTCACACTCTACTTTTAACTTAAATAGAAAATTACCACACATTAGGAAAAACCATGTTCCAGTATTCAAACTCTCATTTGATCAACTCAGAGACCTATACTGTGTAATCTATAAAGATCCACAGTAGTATTTCTTTCTTACTCCACCTGCATTTCTCTCAAAAATTTGAACAATATGCTACAGATAAAACTGAAGTGGTTAGTAACAGGGACAAGAAAGTAAAACATCACAAGGCAGGAAGAGTACATCTTGGGTTCTGGAAAAAGATAAAGGAAAACTAAAAATAAGCAGAGAACAACACATTAAGAAATATAGGGGCTGGAGAGATGGCTCAGCAGTTAACACTGGCTGTTCCTGCAGAAGACCCAGGTTCGCATCCCAGCACCCACATGGCAGCTAACAACTGTCCCTAACTCCAGTTCCAGGGGATCTGACACCCTCTTCTGTCCTCCACGGGCACTGCACAACACAGGTGCACGTACACACATGCAGGCAATACATACATACACATAAAATAAAAATAATAAAAAAAAATTTTTTTAAGAAGAACACTTGCAGTTCTTCCAAAGGACCTGGGTTTGAATCCCAGCACCATATTGCAGCTCACAACCATCTGTAACTCCAGTTCCAGGGGATCCAACACCCTTTTTTGGCCTCTGCAGGCATGATACAACATGGGTACAATTGTACACATGCAGGTAGAACACTTAGACACATAAAACTTTTAAAATTAATAAATATTTTTAAAATATAGCAAAAAATATTGGAAAGAAATACAAAGATTAGAGTGGCTAAGGTCCATTTATGGAATGAAACACATATAGAGACTTGTGAGATCTCTGGGGCTTCACTGTTATACTAAGCAGCTTCCAAAATGGCCCTAATAATCTCCGACTACTGACATTCATGCCCGAGTAATCTTTCCTCTTGAATATGAAGTGATGCACTTCAGATGACTGAACTGCAGCAGAAATGATGAGATATGACCTCTAAGATTACGTTATGAAGATACTGTAGCTACAGCTATTACCTTTTCTCTTAGAGAAGCTAGCTGCCACACTGTGACTGGCAGGATCGGCAAGCAAGGAAATGACATCACCCACCCACAGATGGCAGGAACCTGGGACTGTCAGCAGTCATGTGAGCAATCTAAGGAGCAGAGTCTTCCCCAATCAGATCTGAAGATGACTGTGACTCCTGCCAACACCTGATTAAAGCTTTTTGAGAGACTTTGAGACAGCTGAACCATGCATATATTCTTGACTCAAAGAAACTATGAAATATGTTTTGAATGACTAAATTTGTAGGAATTCTGTTACAAAGGAACAGCTTGTAATTTGTAACCAAAAGAAACACATGAAAATAGATATATCTCCTTTAATTAAAAAGGGTGATTTGTGTTTATTATAATGTAATACATGTAAGTAGATTTATTCAAATCCTTTAAAGTTTATGCAAACACATATCATCCATATAGTTGTTCTTAATATTTCTTAATTGAAAATATTCTACACTACTAGTTTTACCTAACTTCATATTATGTAACTATACTTATTACCAGCATTTATAAGTTCTAAAGAAGGCTTGAGCTTCTAGCCTTGCTGATATATCCTCAATACAAAAAAAAAACAAAACAAAACTGACCTGGCAGGTGCTCAATAAATATCTGGTGAGTGAGTAGCTGGCCCTGCATTTCAAATAAAATATAAGGCTATCATTTTCATAGCCTACAAACACTATCAGGTTTCTAGCTATTTCATCTTCTACAGTTTTCTTCGTGAATTAACATACTCCAGAAACACTGTCCTTTTTATTACTCTTTCTTAAGGTCTCCTTGTAGCCCCAGCTGGCCTAGAATTCACTATGTAGACCGTGCTGGTCTTGATCTCACAGAGATCTACCACCTGCTTCTGCCTCCCAAGTGCTGAAATTAAAAGAATTCACCATGCCCAGCAAAATAATAAAAATTTTTCAAAGCTATATTCAAGTGAAAGGTAGTTATACAAATGAATAAA